ATTAGGTGGCCAAAATATCTGAGCTTGAGCTTCATTATCGATCCTTCCAATGAGCAATCAGGGTTGATTTCCTTAACTTTCTGATATCTGGGATCAAGTGCCAGAATAGGAACAGTCTTGAAGAATTACCGGATGCAGTCACAAGTCTGTTAATGGCGACAGGCAGAGCTAATCCTGTTATGCCAGAAAAAGTGAGGCTGGCTGAAGACAATCCAGCACTGAACAGAATAAACAGCTAAGCAGTGGAGCAGACAATGAGGGACATTTTTCTGTGGTTGGTGCACCAAGGACCAGAGTTTAACAGAGAGGTATGGGGAATCTGTGTCCCTCTAGATATTGCTAAATTACCACTCCAATCAGTAGCTTTGATCTATTGCTCAGATCGCCAAAGGTGGAGGCTGATGAGACGGTCAGCTAAACCTGAAGGGCCACAGGCTTCCCAACTGTGGCTTAGGAGGTGTATGTGTATGGGTGTATGCATATGCATGTATATCTCGTCTATCATCTGCTTGTAAAATAAATATTATTCTATTCTATTCTTACCTAAAGCAATTATTTCACAATTTCCTTTCAAATGTAGAGCACTAATAAACTGCAAGACCAAAAACTTTATACATTTTTTGCATCATTCCTAATGGAACAGACTTATAAAGGCATTCCTTAAGTTTCCCTTGCATTCACCAGCCACCTGATCCCATTCTTCATAAAACAAATTGCTGCCCCAAATAATTTGTGTGTGGCTCAGTAAATTGCCTACATAAATAAAATACGGACCCTAGCAACAGTAAACAGGAATATCACCTTGTCTCTAATCCCAAGAACTTCCTCAACCTGTTGTGAGTAACCTCCCAGGCTGCTTAAAACAGCCCTCCCCACCATCCATTTGTCCATCACATAGTTCTATTTCTTATTTTACACATAATGACTTACTAAATCTGCAATGGGAGCACAGCAAGGGCTCACTTTAAACTTGCCATCCACTGCAGGTTCCGCTGCCTAATTATTCTTCCTTGGCGGTTCTGAATTCATTTGTCTTCTTTTCTGCTGTTTACTACTCCGAGGCTGGAATTTACTCTAGGTGCTCAGCCCCCCAAGCCATGTGATATCCTCTCACTACTATTTCCTCAGAGTAACAGCCTTGAGAGATCAGCCCACATGGAAAACAGTTGCCGTATTTCTCCCATACCTAACTCGAAAAGTCTGTGTAGGAACCATCCCCAAATTCCCTCCTCAGCTGAGAAATCTATCTGTCACCACTAATGTTGGCACTACACGGGCAATCTGAAGGCAGCCACTGCTCTCTGGCCCCTTCCCAGACCTTATGAAAGATCAAATGCCAACATCCAAATAGAAAACCTAAGGGCTATTAGTGGCTGAAAAAAAGCACATAAAACATGAGAAACCAACTAAAGGCAGAACAAAAACATTATTCTAGAAAGAACCAAAGATCCAACCCAGCCTTCAACAGACAGCACGTTTTTCATAATAAAAAAAAAGAAGAGCCACAAGCTGGGGACGGTGGCTCTGTTCTGCTGTCTCCTGCCTGGCTCGGCCCAGCAAACCTCCTTCAGCAGACAAAGCTCCGCCACCCTGCTGCATTCACCCTGGGGCTGCACCCTTGCCCAGCACCTGGATCCCAGATCAGCAGTGGAAGGAAGAAGATGGAAAGGTCAGCTGGGGGCGGCAGCGGCAGAGGGCAGGGCAGCCAGAAGGGCAGGGGAGAATGGTGAGAGAGGCGTTGAAGCAGAGGCAGTTCACACAGGGGAGGAGAAGCATGGGGTCCTCGCCTAACAACCACAATCTGGACTGGTGGGACTGCCGTTGCAAAGCAGCGCGGTCATGTGATGCTTTGCTTAACGACCACGTTGCCTAGCGACGGAAATTCCAGTCCCAATTAGGGTTGGAACCCGAGGACTACCAGTAAGCAATGAAACAGCCTGCTTCCAGAAGTTGTGGGTCTTCAAGAAAAGATTAGACAGCCATGTGTCCGAGATGGTATGGAGATTCCTGCACTGGGCAGGAGGTTGGATTAGATGACCTCCAACCTTATGATTCTAAACAAAAGGGGTGAGAGCGTTGAGCCTTGATGCACCCCACAAATGAGGGGCTGCAGGATTGGAATTGGCCACGGATAAAGGAGAACTGCTGTGATAAGGTCCCCTTTACTCCCAACCACTGCAACTAGTCCAGAAGGATACCATAATGGACAGTACTGAAATCCATTGAGAGATCAGGGACAACAAGGAGAGATACCCCAACTCCCATCCCAACTCCGCAAAGGTCCTCAACGGGTGTGACCAATACTGCCTCCATACTGTATCCCAGCCTGAAATGGGTCCAGACAATCCACTTCCTTCAAGGCCCTCGGCTATTGCTGTCCAACCACCTACCCTAAAAAGCAAGGGTTAGAGACTGGACCATAGTTGCCCAGCATCGTTGAGTCCAAAGGTACTGTTCCCACATCGCAGCGGATTGCCTTAGCTGGCAGAGAGGGGGAGGCTTGGACTCACTTGGTACCATGCAGCCAGGCAAGCCATTGTTGCTTGACAACAAAGAGCTAAAGACAATCTTACCTCTTCATCAGAGCTGTCTTCTGCATACTCATTCTGCAAGGGAGGTTGTGGATCTGTTGCTTTACTCCTGATTTTAGGACCCAACTGTGTTGCTTTTCCAGCCTGCAAAACCGGACAACAGGAAAAGTTACTATGCAAAGGCAGTAAGGGCTGCAGCATACATCACTTATTGTGGAGACCATCACGAGCTCTGTGGAACAGCTAGAAGCAATTCAAGGGGGGAATCGCTCAGGGATACACCTCAAATTGCAGCTTCAGCACCCTTCACAGCACACATCCTGGCATTCCCTAGACCTTTAGCAAGGCCCTGATGCCAGCCTACCTGCAGCCGCCCTCAGCTAGTGGTGGGTCTCCCATCTCCATGATCAAGCATGGAAAGCAGAAAAGCATAAACCAATAATGCCAAACCCTTTGCCCTAATATCTTAGACAACTGCAGTAACAGTTACAGGAAAAATCAAACTGCTAGACTCCTCCTGCCATCAACAATCAAAGCAAATGAAAGAAATACCAAGGGGACATTTGTGGAGGCAGAGAAATGAGGGGCAGTTGTCTGCATTAGTGCCAGGACAGCCATATTTTGTAAAGCAAAAATTAAGCAGTAAGTTTGAAGCAATCTTTGCTGGAGAGTCTAAAAACTACTCACACTTAATTTTTTCCCTATCCAACTTGTTTCCTGGCAACAGGGATCCACCAACAGCTATACCTAAGTAGACACATTCTTCAATTTTGCTAAGATTTCAAGAAGGCCTAGGGGGGATCCCTTCCCAATCATAGATCCTGTCCTTTTTATGTTCCCACCCTTGCACTCAGCTCAAAGTGAGGGAGGAAAAACTTGCAAGAGTGCTTGCTGGTGTTCCAAAGTCAGCATAGCTACCCTTTGAAGGCTATGCCACCTCTGCTTTTCAAAGCAGGCTATGATGGTCAGATGCATTGTTGGCAGACTGGAAAGAACAGTCTGAGTTTCCTTGTTCCACTTACTTCTCCCTTCCACCAACAACCAAATTTACATGATTGCTTTATGAGGATTGAAGTATGTGCGTGCAGAAAGAACCAGATGAAGGATAAAGCAGGATACAAACTCAATAAACTGGAAGCATTTACCTGAGTAACAGCATTAGCCAAACCACTTAAGCATTATGGGATGCATGACATTACGGAACAATACTTAGAAAAGGGAGTTTCTCCTTTTTTGTCCAGAAAGTTTTACCTATCATCCACAACGCACTTTGCCACTCTTATCTCTAGAGACAAGTAATCTCTTACAGTGTTGCTCACAAGAAACTGACAATGAGTCTATTTAGCACACACAAGGAGCTGCAACACACTCATCTCAGGGAGACCCATGAAATTAGATGAGCACACTGCATCCCATACTGCAGATTAGCCCCTTCCTGCTGCTGGCCAAGACAGCCCAGAGGTTCTCTCTCTTGATAGAATTCATCATCGTGAAAGACAGGGGAGAAAGTAGGGCCGAGGGAGCTCCTCTTTTCCCCATAATATTAGAACCCAGGCCACCCAAAGAAACTGATACTTCTCACTGCAGACATTTAGGAGGAGAGCCGTGCTAGTCTATGGGAGCGAAAATCAGAAGGAAATGCAAGAATGAATGGGCACACATGGGGACATCAAGACTCAAAACAAAGGCAAAGTAGTATCAGAGCATTTCAGCCTCCCAGGTCATTCTATCGCAGACTTCAAGGTGGCTGTTTGGAAAAACACCACAACTGAGCAAGGGGTTGAACTTACATGTATCAAAGGTTTCAAAAACACGAAGGGTTTTTAAAACATCACAATGGCTAATTTAATAAGGTACTGGTAATCTGTCTCACATGTAATCTGCATAATCGCCCTGACTTCCCCTCCCTTTCCCCCCACCCCAATTTAAATCTTCCATCGGTCTAGCCACGCTGCTTATCTGATAAAGCGAGCTACAGCTTTCAAAAGCTTCTGCCTTTTAGTAAAATTTGTCTGAAAAGGTGCTACCAGATTCCTTCTGATTTTTTGCAAGGAAACTGATTGACAGTAGGCACTGAAAACCATGCTTTATTCAGCAATTCATTTCTACAAGATCAGATGACGGACACTTGATTATTTGGAAGTGGGGATAGAATGCTGTTGCTCCATCGAAGCCAAAAAACACGAAACGCAAGGTAAGATGGCAAATGGCAATGAGCTGCTGCGGATGCCTTCCTCTGGGATAGCCTGGTCCATCAACAGCCGTCAGTTACGACCTTACAAAGAAACTTCATATATTCTGCTACAAGAGAAACCGGAAAGCTGCTACCTTCACCTCCTCCTTGGGGACCTTCCAGAGCTATCTGGCCAGCTTCTACCGACGGTGAGTCCTGGCCTCCAAGAACCCCTCTGGGCTCAGGAGAGGCCTCTTCCGGAATCCCCCAGGGCTGAGCATGTGAAATACTCCACACTGGGATTTGGGACAGGACAGGATCCAGTCACAGCCAATCGGCCAAACTTCAGCCCACGGCCTGGCAGTCCAGACTGCACCTACGCTTTGGCCTAGCACGCGGGTGCAGGAAAAACTGCATATCCTTCCCTGGAAAAGAGATTTGCCCTCCTCCCCCGCTCAGAGGGGACCCAGCCTGGAGAGGGTTTTGCCAGAGGATTTGGTGGAATAATCAGAAAAGCAGCCATACAAACGTTCCTCCTGGGAGTAGTAAAATCCGTACATTGTGTGATCACCTTCTGCTAGCAGCAGCCTATAATGTAGCCCTGTGTGCCCCCTCCCTGACTTCCACCCTCCTGGCCAAGGGGAGAAAGTGGGGCAGGGGGCCTAGAAAGTACAGGGCCAACCAGAAGATGGGATTACAGCAAAAACAAAGGCTTTAGGAAAGTCTTTGAAAAAAGCTGATCGGAGGTAATTTTTTCCCCAGGCTTTTGGCATCAAAGAGGTTTTGTCTGTCTCTCTGTTTCCCTTCCTCCATTCCAAGCCCAACCGTGGGCCTGGAGCAGACATCCATGCTGCAGAAAGGGGTCTCTGTGCAGCCAGCCATTTAGCCAACAAAGCCTTTGCAATAGAAGCCCAAGATCTCCTCTTCTTCTCTGGCCACTTCAGAGAGCATTCTGTCCTCTAAGCAAGGCAGCTCTGGGTCTTTCTAGCTCTTCAGTACTTGGACTGATTGCTCTGAAGACAGGCACAAGCCAGCCCTGCGTTTGAACAAAAAGCTTTCTTGCTGCTTGGCCTAAGTCATCTAGAAGAGAGTCAGGACATGGAGCACCAGGGTGCTGTCCGCTTCACATATAAACACCTGTCTCTCTACTAAAGTCTCTACAAAGTGTGCTTCAAGGCTTGGCTATTGACGTTTTAGTGCCTGCCGGTGTTAGTCTTCTGATCCAGAAGGCCTGCCTTCACATACCAGGGCATACAATTAGCCTTGTTGAAGAAGAGATAAGTTGCTCTTTGCAGTTTTATCAAGAATTATGTCGCACTTCCTTTGTTGATGTTTCAGATACCATCAAAACATCATGTATTCTTTTGGCTCCTGAATTTCACTCTGTCTATGTTGATTTCCCGGCTAATTGCTGCTTCCTAGTCACCAGGCAGGATCATCATGTTGCACCGAGCAACAGCAATTTAAGAAATCCAGGCAGGAAGATAGGCAAGGAAACCACCAGAGGGCAGCACCTAACACCCTGAAGAACGCAGAGCCCGCCAGGGAAAGCAATCGGAAGATGCAATTGCAGCAGCAGCAGCCGGGAGCCCTGAGGTGAGGTCAGGTCACTGCGCCTGCCTCTGCTGATTCAGCAGAGCTCCAGGCAACAGGAGAAAAGGGCAGAACAACGGCTGGTGCTGAAAACTAAGTTCACCATCAGCAAACGGCTTCAGGGAGAGTGCAGCTTCACAGCAGCTCAGCGGCTGAATGGGGGAAACTCTGGAACAGACCTCTTAATTATCCCATAAGAGCGAAGACTGCTTTACTCGGCCTCGGTGAGGTTTACACAGTCCACCCAAGTCCTCACAAAAGAAGAGCTCGTCTTTCATCAGAGCAGCAGCAGCAGCAGCAGCAGCAGCCTACAGAATGGCGGGCTTTCGACGCTCCCCCAGCACCAATATTCATCGGGGCTCATCACGATGCTGGGGAAGGAGGAAGCCAAACCTAAAGCCTCCAGCACTGCCTCTAAGACCGCCAGGATGCAGCAGTGGCAGCCACTCTCAGAAATGCTTTTCAAGTATCTGCGGTTCGAAGAGTTCCGTAAATGTGAAAAATTCTCCACCATCACCTTTGATAGGCTTCTTCTCCATAAACCTGTCTTTTATTTAAGGCAAACAAAGCCAAAGGTTACCATCATACGCCACAAGAAAAAAACATTTAGCATTTATATGCAGCTGGGGCGGAGGCGTGCCATCTGGCGGCTGTTTCTGAACCTCCCGACCCTGCTGTCATTTCACATTGTGCTCAGCTCAGGAGGCAAGAGCCTTAGTGCCGTCGTCGATTTTTCTTTGAGCATCTCAGGTTGTTGAGGTCTGCAACAGCTGTATACAGGCTTCCCTAGTTTTATGCGACGGCTACATTCCCCAAAAACCTTATATAAAACAACTTTGTATAAAGCGAGACACCAAACCAGTGGAAAAAAGGGGGTTGCCAGGTAATGTGGTGTCAAATTTGGTAATCCATACGCACTGACAAATGCGCTCACAATTTTTAGAGCCTTCTTTTTAAGCACTATGTTACTCAAACATGTTTTCTTCTTCATCTCCTGTTCTATGTACAGAGAAAGCATTTGCTCTAACTTTTCCTCAGCTGGATTTCTAACGCATTTGGTTATCATGGCAAACAAAAGAGGCAGAGTGCGCCATGGCACTAAGAGTTTTATCAGCATTCTTCATTATGTTGCACAGAGTTGATTTGCCCTGGTTAAAAGCCCATCTTAGGACTGGGTCCTTCACTAGCTTCAGCATGACACAATATGCCAAAGTTTGTTTCTAGTATTAGAGATGTTCTTTTCTTTTCCCTTTTGGGTAAGGGGGTTGGACAAGAAATTGGTGGCCATTCTGAACTCATGGGAACAGGAGCAGCTATTGCAGGTATGCAGGAGACGGGATGCACGACTAGGACAATTGCGCAACCTAATGGTAAATGC